ATTTTTAAATTTTACGTCAAAAGTTGGTGTTTTATTTGGGCATAATTGTTTCCGAAAATTTATCAAATTTTATCAATGGGAGATAATAAAGTGGAATTTTGCATTTTAGTAGAAAGAGCGCAAATGTTCAAGACTCCAAAATTTCAGTTGCGCGAGAATTTTTGTTTATTTTTCGAAATTTCCTTGAAAATCGGGTGGTTACATGGTGGCGATTGTTTTATCAAGAGTAGGTAGTAAACCGACATTTTTATATTTTTGTAGAAGCGCAAGTTTTACATTAGTTATAATATAAAACTAGCTTGATTGAAATTGTTAAAAATAAGTATTTAAATTAGCCCCTAAAGCGCAAATCGAGTAGTTTCTTAAAGCAATTTGAAGATTATCTAAAAGGGCGGCGTTTTGCAACGATTTCAAGACAAACCACCCAGAGATCATCAAAAAAATGCTTAAATTGGTAAAATTTCAGGCTTGCCAATAGCGAATCTTTTGCATTTTTTTTGTGCGCAATTTTGGGCCTTAAAAAACAGCCACTCGGTGTTTCGGACTGAACCTCTCACCAGTACCTACGCCGCGCAGTGTTGTCACAAGGCACACATTTTATGAAAAAACGTTTATATTTTTCAAAAATAGGATTCGTCAAGTGCACGAAATCGAGAAGATTGATGTAGGAAAAACACTAAGCAGTTTGACTGACTGAAACTAATATTAAGTCGGATTTGAAATCAACTTTATAACTAAAATACACGATATTCCGCCAATGAAAAAATCGTCAACGTGCAACTTGCTCAAATTTCAACTTTTGCTATTAATAATCTAAAGCGAGTCTTCTCCAATTTGTTTCGCGCACAATTTTGAAATTTCTCGTGTCCAAGCCAGCAGTTTGCTTGGACTCATTCAAAGTTTTTACACCGTGCGACGTTGCTAAGTTGCCACTCTAGAGTGGAATCAGGGAGGATTTCAATAAAACTGCAGAAAGTTTCACATAATGGTTTATTATCTCTACTATATTCAGAAAATGAGGGCCTAAAAGCCCCTTGTTGTATGATCTACTGATCATCATCACATCATTAGTTTATCCTTATTACATATTAATAATTAATAAACAATAGTATATCAATAATCATGTCTATAAGACAAAATGTGAACGTGGGAACTTGACAAAATGTTTGACTACAATGGGTAGAAATGACAGCAACTAAGAGGGTTTACTTGGGGTGTGGACGTTCGGTTGGAGAGTAAGAAGGTTTATTGAGATTATGGCACAAAATCAATATAACACAGATCCTGCTGTTGATGCTGATCGATATAAAGTTCGAGAGGCAAGGATAGTCGGCAACATTCTTAGAAATGGTTCATAATCACACACTTTATCAAATCAGTTCACTGTACCTTCACAACCGGGCCATCCAAGTGGGGGGAGTCGAGTTCTCGCCCCCACATGGATGCCGAGCGTTCAGCGAGAAGAAGGAAACTGGCCGATACAGTGGGTCCGAATCCTAAATACCATGCATACATCTTTAGTGACAATTAATATATTTATATTCTATATATTTATCATACAATCATAAATTTTATATTTCTCCAAAAATAATCTGTTAACTTTTAGCGTTCGTTCTCGTCGCTGAACGCGCCTCGCCTTTCTCCAGGATTATTGTAGATAGATTCCTAAAACTAACTCGGTCAGCGGCGCATTGATGCGCCAAGCGGCGCACCACTGCGCTGCTGAGCATCCACTTAACAGTTCCGTTGAGAAATGGAGCAACTCAGTGCCGATCCATTTGCCAGCGGCCTTTTTAGCAAAACAGTGTTTGCCTCGTGATGTGACTTAAATAACAATCATTACTAAAAATATCACAAAATTGTTGTTGATTAAATGAAAAAATAAAATGAGCCACTTTATTTACATGGGGGATAGAGGGGTGACGGTAGAGGGAAAAGGGTAAAAAGTCCTTTTTCATGTGGCTCACATTAGGATCACTCTGTGTTCAATTTCGGATGTCCTAAAAATAGATCAATAACAACAACTAGGTTAAGGACCTCTCTCTATTCAGGTCGATGCTTAGTTTAAGAGTAAGAAATCTCACCAACTCGCCATAGTCAGTTACCAACGTACACAGTATAACAAAAAAAAGAAAGAAATATATTATAAAATCTTCAAACAAAAACAGTTAAACATATAAAAATATAATAATTTTCACGCACTACTACTCTAGTAGAAATTTCCAGGCAACTGACCTGGGCCTTATACATGTATAACAATAGAAACAACCAAAGAAGCGCGTTGTACGACTCCAACAGAGTGTTTAGTTATTGTTTCCTGTCAGCTAAGCTGGGGATAAGCCGAGTATGCGTAGCCGAAAGCGAAGCAAAGTAGCGTTAGTTCTAAAATGCCAACTACAAACTCACAACAGCGCAGCACATAGTTTCACCTCCGTCTGATGGGGTCCCTTGCAACTGCTTAAAGGCATTTTTTCGATCGCAATTTCAACAGCTTTCCATCTGGAGCATTCCAGAAAATGCCAGCAAAAAATKTTAATTTCAGATTTAGGMAACGCAAAATAATGCGTGAAAACACAATTGAGAGAGCATTTTGTTAGAGGCGAATTTAATTSAGTTTTACACCRGAAAATGAGTTTTTATCGGGAAAAAGAACCATAAATTTAGTGAGTTATTCAAGACTTCAAAGCTGGAAAAAACCTCGCATTTCTAGTCCTTTAAATTGTTCTTTTCTGTATTTTTTACTTCTTGCAATCTGGGAGAACTTAGTGAGTGACTGTCGATCAAACGACTAGCTTTTGGACACCTACTTGAAGGGAGAATTTAGTGAGTTCAATCTGATGAAAAGGCACAATTTTCTRCTGGAAAAARTGCATAAAACCACTTTCGTAAGTGCAGTCGTCAATTTCAAAGTGATTTAGTGAGTTGAAGACGAATTTTAGTGGACTATTTAGCTTGATGACCACATCAGCGCATAAACAGASAGTAGGGAAATCTCGATTAGCAGGTTTTCCACTAAATTCGAAACATTTTTTGCATTTTTCACCCCATCAGCGAAGAGTGAAAGCGCTACCCGGTCGTTACGCCACTGCGTAATTGTACAAGCGACACCGCAAAAAGGACTTCTGACATCAGGATCTACGTCAAAAACATTTTCTATTTACCATCAACAACAACTGTACAATAAAAATCACAAACGAATTTAAAAATTAAAATAAACATGAAAGAATCACAAAATTTCCTTATTTGGTACGAATCGTCGAAAAAGTGGAAGCCAAACAACCAGTTTCGCCAAACAAACACATTAATTGTCATGACAGCGATTGGAATTAAACAGAGAGAAAAATTAAAAATAATAAAATTAAACAAAGCGAAAGCACAAAGTCAAGAGGCTATAGAGTGGGTGGGGATGTGAAACTGTTGTAAAGGCTGGTTTCCGCCGAATGCGAAAACTGGCCTTAATTGCATCAAGCGTAAATAACAAGCTACGGGGTTAAAGCTAACTCTATTCACTATGTAAATATAGAATAGATAATATCGGAACTAGGGACACATGCAATATAATTTATAACAATACAATACGGGTTAAGAAAAATGCTTATACGCTAACTACCAACTACTAAAGGGCTGTGGAGGCGTTACAGTTGGTAGGCCCCGCCCACTTTGGGGCTGAGGGCCAATCAGCAATTGCCAATCGCGCACCACAGCCTGCTACGGTAATAATAATCATATACAAGCATTGGGTAGGTTTACACTTAGTTGGTACTACTTAAAAGTATCGCCGGCCTCCACAGGGCCTATCGCTTGCCCGTTCAACAAACTTAATCTAAACGAATCAGCGGCCTGCAGAAGCCGACAGCGGATGATTTATCCAAACTTGTCCAATTTCATAACGCTAAAACCACAGACGTAAACGTAAATATTTATAAAGTTATCACAGTGGAGTCACCGCTTACATTATGAATAAACTGCACAAACTGAACTGAGTTATTAGTTAGAGAAGGTTAGTTGGAATCATCAGCAAAACATCGACCAGTCCAGGAAATCGATCGCATTTGGGGAAAAATTCGCTTCAGAATGGGGGCGCGTCCATTGATTGTCGTCGTTAAAAGCCTGCTGGCTCAACGTTTCGGACACGTCCTAAGCTGGTACGAACTGGTTTACTCAAGCGACAGTTTGGGCTAAATCACCCCGGGGTTGTGCCGGATCTGTGACATGCGCACCATTCAATTTACTCAATCATACGTGAAACATGGACGGAACACGTTACTGGATTCGTCAGCTTGGAAACTACATTGCGGGAAATTTAGTGAGTTCGGTGTTTTTTTGCGTATTTATCTCCCCTGGTCAGGAAACCGATGTAAACTGACCCAACAAAATTTACTGACTTCGTCCAGTCACTCACTTTCATCACTCTAGATAGGAATTTAGTGAGTTGGAAATGGTTGAATTTTGAAATCGAGTTTGGCCAGTATTTTTGCAACTAGACCAGACTTCGATACACGTAAAATTTAGTGAGTGCGAAAATTGCCTCAATCACTACTGAGCACTCACTCACTAAACTAATCAACACAACCCAAAAATCACTAAATATTTGACAGCCCATATTGACACCGTCAGGAAAATGTCATTGAATTTAAGTGAGGTGCACAGGTGCACTTAGTGAGTCAATATCAACCCGATGGAAAAAGTAAAAAAAATGACAAAAGTACTTAGCAAGTAGAAGACGCGAGAAGATAAAAAAAATAGTTTTGGTAAATTTTTCTTAAACTGGGTCCCTGCTTGATGGTGATCAACACGCAAAAAAACGCCACGATTTAGTGAGTGAAATGTCAAAAGTTTCGAACAGGAATCGGTTCAATGCGCATGTCACGGGATTTCCAGCAGCAGAAGCAGGAAACAAGATGGGTGGGCTGAAGGTAGAGGCATTGAACGCGCATAACCCAACATAGAGGCAAAACCGAGCAAATGATGCTGCGCACTACAAGCAAAGCAGAGACCTGCGCTCTGACATGGAAGCTCTCACTCTATATCATGGTATTAAAGGGAAAGACCATATATAGTAGCATGTTTGTCTGTGATGGCGTGTAAGTGCATGGGGCGGGAGAAAAATGAACAAAATCGAACCGAAAAAACGAAGCTGAACTGGTTCGTCGGTGGTGAGTTCGTGTGAACGCGCTAAAAGCTGCTCTACTCGACAAACTAAATTATTCCTTAACATTTGATTGGTACCGTTTTCTTGGTTGTGACAAAAAAGAGACAAATATGCTACTACCAATATAATATTATTATCGATGTGTGTTGATTTTTGTATAATTTACAATATAAATGTAACGAGTTTGTTAGAATAATTTGTTAGACCTAGTAAACTTTAGAACGCTATATAAGATGAGTAAAGTAACTCCCTTATGCGAGTTTGTCCGTTATGACCTACTTCATTATGTACAGGAAGCCTGCCTAAGGGCGCATGTCCGCATTAGCACACTGAACATGTCTGTTTTGCTCGACACTAGATGGCATCACCTTGTAAATCCCACCAGCGTGGCAGCGCAGGACATGCGCCCTCTGCCGACCGAACACAAAAATATACACATTCACTCAAACAACCCGATATCACACGTGGCGCAACTCTCTCGCCCTTTAATACCATCGACGTATTAAAACAGTCCTAAATGCTTAATGAGGAACTTGTAAAAATATCTTCTCTTTACTGGGAGATATCGAGTTATCAGTGTTGTCTTGACTAGACCAAGACCAGCTGACTTATGACGTAAAACCGTTGTTCTTTTTTTGTTAATTAATTGTATTTCTAGGAATACTGGACATCGACTGAGGTGGAGATGCGGACACGCTTCAGTCTATACAAGGTAAGACAGTCATTGACTTTAAAGCTTGACATTTAGGAACATTTAATTAGGGTGCATTTGATTCGATGGCCTTGATGAGTAAAAGAGGATCACAGTGTAAACTGGCAACCAATCGAATATCTCCCAAAACGGAAACCTGCTTCAGAGGAAGAACGATTCAAAAATGGTGACTCAAGCGTCACTGGCCGCCATCTAACTGATTTGACATTGACAGTCAGTGTAACCAACCGACGGCCATTTTAAGTCGTTGTTCTTTTGAGGCGATTTCCCTACAACATTACTGTACACTAAGCGCGTCGTTACACCTTATGTGACATCAGAGTGAAGACCGTGTTAGTTAAACAGCTAATCGCGCAACCGGAGCGCAATTTCCGTCCGATTGTCGCCTAAATTTTAGAATATAACGGTCAATTGGATGTCCGGAAAGAACCATGCGCTCACTCATTCGTTCGCTCACAAACAATTCGCACACACGCTCACAAAATCGTCTAGTCGCTAAGAAACCGAATCTATCCATCATTAGAAAACAATATCATCTGTTTGATTGGCCAATTCAACGGCCAATATGTATATAATGTATAATAAAAACGTCTATGCAATATATAAACATATTATGATAAATAAGGTTTCGGTGTTAGTCGTTGTGGCTACTACAGGTAGGAGGAGAGGGCGGCCATTACGGGGGCGGGGGGCAGCGCAACAGGTATGTGGTAGTACTTGCAGGCGCTCCTGCTGCACTGACCTTTGGCCGCGTCACGACAAACCGCCACTCGGTTCTCGATCACTTCAACTCCGTCTCCTGCAAAATACACCAACATTTACCACAACAACTCTTTAACTGTCAAAAAAGTTGACATTGTAACCTGCCAACGAGTGTCAAAGTTTGGGTAGTGATTGTGTGCCAATTGGACGTTAGAACACCCGGAAAAACCATAAAGTTCCATTGAAAACATCGACCCCACGTAGCTCTTTCGCTCAAAGCTTTCTATGCCAGTTTTTACTGGGGAAAGTTGACATTTTGTAATCTGTCAACACTGTGACATCTGCCAAGGGTGCGGTATTTAATTGTCAACATTTGGCTTGGAATATTCAGGTTAGGACACTTGGAAATCTCTTACAATTATATTAAACACATAGAACTCATGTTGCCGTGTTGCTCAAAGCCATCTATCCAACTTTTTACTGCTGAAACTTGACATTTTGTAATCTGTCGAGACTCTGACGTATGTCGAGGTTGGGGCATTTAATTGTCACCTTTTGGCTTTGAATATTTAGGATAAAACGCTAGCAAATGTCCAGCAATTCTATTAAAAACAAAGAACGCATGCTGCTGCGTCGCTCAAAGTCTACTGTTTCAGTTTTTATTGCTGAAAGTTGACATTTTCTAGTCTGTCAACATTGTCACAGATGCCAATTTGCTCATTTAATTGCCGCCATTTAGGTGAGAACACCCGGAACTGTTTAAAAAACATGAATCTAAGTTGCTGTCGCTGCGGCAAATCAACAATCTCAGTTTTTAGTGGTAAAATTCGACATTTAGTATCTTGTGCGTCTTTGACACATGTCAAAGGCACCGACTAGAAACACAAACAATTTTCGGTGGGAGAACGCAAAAATATCAAGAATTTCCATTTAAAACCGACAATTGACTATCAAAGTTTTAGCTGCGCAACTGTCTGAACAAGCCTTAAAACTGTCTAAATCGACTGCGTTACAGCTTGTCATTTTTGTCACATCCGTCAGGGGTGACGGTGAAGTCACTTTTACGTAGAATCTTCAAAACGCGTTGATTTTTTTGGAAATTAGGCTTGAAGCCAACGTTCAAATGTACTGTTAATATTTGGAAACGGTCTTCGCGCATCTCTGAAGGTTTTTTTGCGAAAAAGTGTGAGTCTTCAGGCTGATGAGAGCAAATAGGCCTGAAACCCCCTCCAAGCAGAAAAAAGTTCAACAAATGAGCCTAAAAAGTGTAAAGAGAGCCTTACCTTCCTGTAGATGTACAAATTTGCAAGTTGGCCGGGTGCAAAGGCCACGATTAAAATCTTGGCACACCGGGAGGGTGTCCAGTAACTGAAAAAACACAACACTATTAGTGAACAGACCAAACACGACTGCGAAACAGAACAATTAAACTTAGTTGGTTGACAAAACGGTTGTTGCTCGTTTGTTTGTTTCCATATATTTTTTTTTTCGTTTTAATGGCACTGGTGCAGATTATGCGCCGGTGAGTGAGGCCGGTTAGAGATAATTCAATCATTCTGCAGCACGACAAAATCAATGTTGAAAAAGCCAAAAAAAAAAAAACGAAAAATCATTCGAAGCCGGGACAAAGGACATCTGGGACTGAGTGTGTGAATGCAGCGATTCAGTCGAATTTCCTCAAGCAAGTGACAAAGTCGTCGTTCATATTTGGTTTAGCGACCGTCAGAAATCCGACGGAATCGCCTGTTAAATCTATAAAAAAAAATTATAAAAACAGTCCAAGCTGATGGCAGCAAAGAGGCCGAAACCAAAAGCGGAGTCTTGATCGGTGTATTTCATGCAGAATGTTTGAAAATCTTCACTAGAATGCTAAACAATTGGCAAAATCAAAAGCGTGTCCTAAAATAGAGCATTCAGAGAGAGAGAGAGATTGAAAATAAAACACAAATCACTAGTTAAGTAAAGCTTGATCATAACAGAGATTGCGTTTAAGCCGAGCAAAGCTCGGGGTTGGAGTTGCGCAGTTTTAGTCACTGTGCCACAAACCGAACAAGCTACAATGCTAAGGACCACCGGGTGTTCCGGAACTGAAACTGTGTTAAATCAGCAGCAAACGGGCCCATTTCGGAACACCCAATCAATCAAGTGAGTGAGTGACATCAATCGGAAGCAGCATGATTGTTATAAGTGGGGATGATTAAGGCAAGAATCGCATTAAAAGCAACAGCATTGTAACTTGTTAGCCAATCAGAGGTTCATGCCAGCTGTTCTACATTGCCATTAGGTGGGGGGACGGCGCCAGCCGGTTAGTAAGTAACGTAAATCTGGCAACACATCCCTCTACTTACTACTTAAGAGGCATTTAGGTTATGTAGTACAGCTCACAGGAAGTTAAACAACGTGAATACCTGTCCTTGCTCGTCAGTGTAGATCACAAATGGGGCGTTGGATGGCGCGCCATTGCCTAATGTCATCATGCAGAGATTTTGTGCATCAGCAAGAAGCAGCATCGCAGCCAGTAACAACAGTACGAGTTACACAGCCAGTACGAGTAAGTAATTGAACCCACCAGACACCACCATGTATGTATGAGTTTGTTTCGGTTTGGAAAAAGCAGACGCGATCGATCGGTTCGGTCACCGTAACGGAAACGAGCAAATTAACGACAGAAATGTCAAAAGGGGGCGTGTCCCCCAGTCCCAAGAAACACCGCACAATTTGAGTGGGAAATGCGTGTGTGAGAGAGAGACAGTGGTGGACGCGGCAAATCAGACATGGGCAAGCATGAAACAGAAAAGCAAATCAAATTGATTCGTCATTCCCTACGGTTCGATTGGGCGATGTTCAGAAGGATGTCCTTTGGATTGCAGCCTTTAGCCAGTACGGAAAGGAAACTTTTTCTAGTTAAAAAAAAAGTTATGCAAATATCGCTTCTCATAATTAAATGTTAATGTGTCTCATTCTGCTCGATTCAAAATCTAGCTTTGCTAGCGATCATCCAAGCTGGGGCACTTAATAAATTTAGCCCCGCCTACTTCTGGGGCGTTTCATCTCATTCTATGACACACACACACGAAAAATTCGGCTCTGTTCCACTCACACGGAGATTGTGCGATGATTGATCCGACATCCTTCTGACCGTTACCCAATGGCAAAAATCGACAAGTATTTGAAAACAATAATCAAACCATCAAATCGATGAGGTGAGAAAGAAAAAAGCGAAAAACAACAGTTAAAATAGGATTACTTACAACTGGAAATCTACCTAAAATAGAGTAGCTGAAATGGGATCTCCTAAAGCAAAAGCGGTCGGTACTGTTAAAATAGGATATTAAAGAATTGTAAATAATGAGAAGGAAACAAGCTGTTACAATGTGTGTGGGACAAATCTGCGTTGCTACAATTAGTCTATGCGGCTGGAATTCTGCAAACATAACATATTAGATATGGGTAGATCATAGGTAAATCATATATGTATGTATGTATATCAACGAGATCAAAATGTATACTTTACTTACACTACAAGCTACGGTTTATTTGAGCCAATAATAATTGTCCCCAAGCATATGGGCATTGATAAAACGGTTCTAGGACATGCACAAATGAGACGTGGCCAAGTACAACTAAGTACTACGCTAATTCTCGGCCACTAATATCCACACTTTTACTTAAATCAGTTAGTTTACGTACTCGGCAACCATTTGGTAGCGGATAAGCCTAATTAAATTGTCGAGAAAGCACGCCAATGGTGTGTGGTCAAACAATACCTACCGCTACATAGAATATAAGTCACATAGTTTCAAATATACAACCCATTATTGCCCAATGATCACTAAAACTGGGAACGTGGCTACTTGGCTGAATATGCGAATACAATTGAAAATATTCCCAGTCTTAGCCGCTAATCGGTGAAGAAACTCTGGCAAAGCAACACCCGATTATCCAGGTTATTAGATAGGAGATGACGTTGTGCAATGTGCTCTGAGCGCGGAGAGGAAGCGGCTGCAGCCAATAGGCTGCCACCACTCGACTCGCGCCGTTGGAGACTCAGAAGGTTAGAGTGAGTGCTTCAGAAGACGGTTAAGGAAAACGGTCTATACAGATGAGCAGTCGATTGCACATTACACAAGCTGAAGCCAGAATTTCAGCGAAGTTTCATCTTCGCCAGCCTCAGTCTGATTCCGTTCGTTCAAGTTCATGGCGGTGGCCAGATTTTTACTCTCATTTTTTCCCTTTTTTTCAAACAGCTCTTGATATTTCACAGACGTTGGACCGAAACAGGTGCTTATTGTGATATGCATTTTAAATTTGCGCTTAGTAATAGGAGGTTTTTCTTCATTCATGAGTTTTTCACGGTTTTTCCAAGTTGAAAGTGGAGCAAAAATTCACATAAAATCGTGCATGTTTGAAGAGAGTCCAAACTTCAAAAAACTTCTACAAGGAATCAGAAAAACCTGCCGAGATATCGAGCTTAAATTTGCACACCCTGTACAAAAAGGTTCAGACTACATTTCAAGGTATCGTTGGCCAAATGCCTGAACGCAATCAAATTTCTAGCTATAAAACCAAAAAAGTTGCTAAAACGAAACTTCTACTCCTTGCAGATGAAGGATGAGAGCACGAGTGAACAATTTCACTCATACTCAGAAACTTTTGAACTTTTTTGAAGCAAGCTAAGAAAAATTTGCTCGCGTGTATAAAGTGGATGAAACTACACGCAAAATATCACGAAAATCCCAGTTTAGCTGATTTTTCGGAAACATTCAAGCTTAACAGGCTGCAACGAAAGAAACGTCCAAACGTGCAACTCGGCCCATTAAAGTCCATAACTTCAACATCCTAAAATTCGCCAGGTTGAAAATTCTACGCACTGTGGATAAAGGTTTAGTGCAGATTTTGACCAATTCTCCTTCTGTTTCGAACACCCCTCAATTTTTCAGAGACTAACTAAGATAACTTGTGCTGGTGTTGACTTTAAACTGAAAAGTATCGCTAAAATTTCGGGATTTTTCATGAGGATTTTAAGGTATTGAAAGAAGCCTCCAAACATGAAACTTGGCGTCTCAAATCGGATAACTTCAAAACTATTAACATGAGCCAATTGAAAAAATCAATGTAAGTGAATACTTGAGGATCATTGAGAGAGAAACTTGCCCACAGTGTATAAAATGACTTAAACGTCCACACTTTAGGCTGCAAGAAAAAAACTCAGAAACAAACTGGGGAGACATTTAGACAGCAGGAAATTTAGATCGCAGGATGGCAAAAACTTTTTTTGGGAACAATTTGGTCCATAACAGAATTGTGAAACTTTGAAACTTTTAGGCCGAAAAAAAGTACCTTCCAACTTAAAGACCCTGGAAAAAAGTTCACCGTGTAACTTCATAATCAGAACCCCTTGATGGTTCTGTTGATCCGGAAAGTTTCACTGTTCGTCAAAAGCGTGATTATTGGGGAAATAAGTGTGTTTGAGAGTAAAAGGTGCCACCGCCACTACCTGATTGAACGTGCTGTGATTCCCACACTTTACTTTTTGCGCTCAGAAAAGCTCCGATTTGCTAGTTGGCAAGCTATGGCATGAGAGACAGAGATTGGCGTCGTTTACACCGCTGTTAACTGATCTGTTTTATTATCATTAAGTAAGCGGCGACAAGCAATTATGAAATATGTAAGGACTTACTGAGTATCGGTAATTCAGCGACACCTGAAAAAACAACATCAGTCAGCTAACAACTCCTCTATGTAGCGTTTAGGGAGTAGAATCGCCGGACAGGCACAAAGTGAGCATTCGATATTTTACAAAATAAAAAAAAGTGAAAGAGCCGCGCGCCAAACAGATGCAGCTACCAGGACTGCATCGGTTGGGCGCGCCTCGTATAGTAGGCATAGCTTCCCAACAGCAACAGAGTAACTGTTTAAGTTGATTGCGATTGTTGATGGACTACCAAGCGTTAGTTCAAGTTGGTTCATGTGAGAAGCGTATGGGTTTACATCGTCAAATTAAACAATCACAAAAAATAAAATGCAGAGTCAAACTATCTCAGAGCTCTGAATCCCCCGCGGACACTAAGAGCCAAAAAAGCGTTGAGCGGCACCGGCAAATGTCGACTCTCCCAAATAGAGGAGTGCAAGGAGAAACATAAAGTAAATAATCGGGAACGTTGTCGATAGGTAGTTGAAATAATAAGCAAATGATTAATAAAACAAATATCATGCATTTTCAAGCATTATTATTACAAATAGTAGCAGTGATAATACATACACCTCAGGATTAGAACAATACGGTACACATTAAAATCAATAATCAATTTTACGAAAAAAATAAGGGGACTGTTTGTAACACTAAAATGGCAAATGTGACCCACACCTCTTTAGCTAAGCGTGATCAGCAGCCTAAAGGCACTACATTATTGTAAGTCGAGTTTAAGGTGGCTGGCAGCTGATTACGCGCACTTCATTCAGCATTTCAACGAGCCTCAACCTCAACTTGGACTATTACACTCAACATTTTCTTGCTCAATTTTCAACTCCTTCTCTCCTGCTCTTTATTATCCCACTGGAACTATCAACGAATATCCAGTTTCAGTACTTTCGCAAAAACCGTGTCAAATCAAGCTTCAGTTTTAATCACCAGATGCCAGGTCCGGTTAGGCAAGTGGCCTCAAATATTGCAACTTGAGCTCGCGTGGCAATTTTATTAGGAACGCACCCAAATATTGCACTGGTTCAATTTTCTGCCCCAATATGGGTTTTTTACGGCTTAGAAAGCTGCAAAATTAACAATATTGTGGCTTTTTGCATTTGCAAGTTTATTAGATCGAGCCAATACTCATTTAAAGCGATTAACAAAATAATTTGAATTTTGGTAAAAACGCCCCAGAAATCTCGTTAGTTTAGAGCCTCTTGATCGATCTCTTGGATAATAATCCATTTAGAGCGGATTTGTTGCAAGTGGCAATTTTACAGAAAGCGCACGGCATTGATAAAAATATTTCAAATTTGTTTAAAATTTTCAGTCAATTGGCACAAAAAACTTCGTCTTTACAGCGCCTAAAACTTCAGTTTAAAGAATGTCGATGGCTTTTTTGCAACTCTGAAGCAAAAGGTAATTTTAACGTTAAATGCTGCAACTGGAGGTTAGAATTACTTTAGGCGCGCATAGAAATATTTTTGGTTTTGGCAAAAAAATGACCCAAAAGGCAATTAATTTATTGCAATGCCTGATTCAACGACTTCAAAGGGAAAGGATTCAAAAATCCAGTGTTTTTTCCAGAAAAAAACCGTGAAAAGTTCATGTTTCAAATCTGATTAAATGGGTTGTATATATATATTACAACAATTGGCATTTTATGAGAAGCCAAGACACTGGCATTCTTTGAAAGACTGCAATAATTTATTTTTTGCTGTGGCAAATTGGCACAAAAGTCTTTTACGGCCATGAAAATTTCATTTTTGCGATCAATGTTGATTGCTTTTGCAACACTGAGGCAAAAAAGCATTTCAGGATATATTAAGCTTCAGTTTGTGTGATTTATTGCATTTAATTGCATTATTGAAATTTACGGAAAACCTTTCGGCATTACTTAAGGTGCCTAAAGAAGTCGCTTGAATTTCGGCCAAAATGCCCCAGAAAGTGACTTTTTCGACAATCTCAGCTTGATGTTGTGTAAATAACTCATTGCAACGGCTGCTTAAGCGACTTACAGTGATTTTGAGCGCAATTTGGACAGTTTTTGCGAACGAAAAACCTGAAAAGTTTATTTGATTTAACTTCAAGTTACGCGTCGAATTACATCAGGTCATTTCTGATTAAGTTTCTTAAATAGTGCAACAACAGTGGCAATTCTATAGTTCGCGAACTGGCACTGTTTAAAATATTTTTTTTCTGCGTAATGGACATTAGAAAAATCGGTTTTACGTCCAAGAAAGTCTCATTTGATGGCTTGAACTGCAGCAGTTTCAGATGGAAAAATGGCCCGACAGTTAAATTTTCGCCCGAGTTTACATAAGTTATTGCAACAGCCGATTAATTGAGCGTCTTTTTACAAAAAAAAAATCCAACATCAACAGCTTCAGAATCAACAATTTACTGCAACGGCTTCCAAATATGCAACATTCTATGTAAGACTAGAATGATTGCAAAAATAACGTGTAAAGCAGCTCAGTGACCTTCGAGTCCAAAACGATTGAAGCAAACTTGGAGATCAGTTTAATTGCTGGTTTGAAGAGCAAGTTCAGTTTGCGTAAATTTGACCAACATATTGAGCAAAGGGGGCGGTTTGAATTCATTTTCGCTCTGAACTTGAACAGCTAATATTAACTCGATAACGGTTTAAAGAGGTTTTGAGACTTGAGGGCCCATGCTGGAAGGAAACGCGATAGCCGGACGCGCTTGATAATATCACACTGAATAAGCAAAGAACCATGAGGGTTAAAAAGCACAAGCACTAAGACAAATATGTGTTGTTGATTGGTAAGCATGCAATCGGAAGTCCAAGTCGAGTAGGGTCGTCCAAAGCTCAATAATTACGGCCTTTACCAAAAAACAAAACGAGCTACTAGCGATAGCCTAGTACTATCCTGCCTAGTAACATAGTAATCCTACTTAAAAATGCAACGTTTATATAGTTTTTAGTGTGTTCGAATATCTTCATATGTTTATCTAAAGTCAAATAGACAAATACTTATTAATATAATGATTTAGATTACATGCATCACAACTTGGCGTACGGGTCCGTACTAGTAAATTATCATCTTCTTTATCATTAAATGCTAACTAGTAAGACACATGTTTAATATTATAGGATAATACATCAAAGTACCATTTCTAAACTCTAGCCTATATCTTACAAAGGTAAAAATATGGAACTACGTTGCACACAGAACAAATATTTGGCGCCAACTCGTTACAAACAAACAACTCTAAAACAGTCAGATATTTACAGCTGTTGATTTGGTTGAGTAGACTTCCAGCTTGCCGGACGACTACAAGATACGGATTTCGCTAAAACTTGAACAGGAACGTGCCCGATCAGCACTGGAAATCTACGAAAATTGCACTAAAACCAAGCCTAAACATTTGTTCCACATACAAACTTAGCGATTTAACTGAAACGACACGATTAACGCAGGTGCTACATTTTGTGCTTGGAGATCGAACACAGGAAGACCAAATAACAACAGCCGTTCCGGCTACAAGTCTGAACGTTTACAGTTAATTAAAATAGGAACGAAACGAGCCAGTGTCTTGCCGAACACATACGAATTCAGGTCCAGACCGTCGGCCCAACTTCACAAAAGACTCTACTACTGTGTCAAACTATACAATTTGGTCGTGTCCTTAGAAGTACATACTAATCCAAACCCAAAAAGATTCAGCTCGACATACCAATTCATCCCATACGAAGCAGCCCCCTAAATTTACCACCCAGTGTGGTTGTGTTAATGAGTCGATTCCTGCGGACCATGCAAGACAGTCAGAAGAAGCCCCATGCAGCTCAAATCCGGTTCGACAGCCGGCCATAAAGTCAACGCGCAAGCACACCACCACTATTCATCTGTCTATGTGTTTCAAATTTCACTCTGCATGCTTCAATTTCAGCTACATTAGTCGAGTAGTCAGTCACTCTTCTAGGCTGATGTTAATGACAAAGTGTGCAAGTTTTTTAACTTGTATGACCGTACAATCTGGAAACGCTGATCAATCCTTATTATTATGACATGTAATTGTTAGATCAGCAAATTTGAAGAAACAAAAAGTGGAAAGGAATTGAAACATTTTCAGTTTTCAATATTATTGACGAAATTAAGACACTTTGCTATTCGCAATTGTCAATAAACAGGGTGATGGTTTATCTTTCATTAATTTTTTTCATTTTGTACCGAAACTTGAAGGAAAAGAATCATTCGAATGGAGGGGCCAACTGGTTCATTTCGAAACTGTTTTGTCTCTTGTTATTTTTTCGTTGATTAATACATTTATACGTGGTCACGGAAATTTAATTGAACGTTACTCAATGTTAAAAATAAAACACTATTTTTTCATGGACCGATGTTTCGACTATATTTAAGTCATCCTCAGGGCGGAGAATGACTTAAATATTTTAGTTTTCAAATGGATCAGCGAATAGCACTGTGGAGCCGTTTTATTGAAATTAAGTTTGCTGTTGACACAAAACAAAATGTGCAAAGGGTAGTAAACCCATGAATATAATGATAACTGGAGAAAACATCAGAAATCTGGCAGCAGTGCATGTCCAGCGATCTGCGCACACACAGTCGCTCCTGCAAATAACTGTCAACTTCTTGAAGTTATCCACGTATGTCACACACATTTTATCGAATATAGAGATATAGAGGGTGTCATGAAGCGCGGACTCACTGACACAGTGAAACATGAAATTGAAGCGACTCGCACACATACAGAGAGACGGTCACCAAATAAAACACCCATCATTTGCAAATAGTGTTAGTAAGTTGTAAGAATGGAGGCTCTAAAAGCTCTAAACATTGAAAGGTGGTGATGACTAGGGGAATGGAAGCGGGGCGTTCTAGAAGTGCTAGAAGGAACTAGCAGAGCTGACTTTATGGCCTTGGGCAGGGAGCGAGTGGGCGAGGCGGATCTTTTTGGGCCGGTTGACAAGTAACTACGAAACTCGAAAAAAATGGCACTTCTAACAGATACGCTTATAAACTCTACCATGCAATTCAATTAGGCTCTCAAGTGGTATTAAATCAAATACGTATGTATAAATCCTGTTCATGCAAGTTAACTGGGAACAATATTGTAGCTTAACCGTTTACACAATACAAGGTAGTTACAACCAGCCTAACTTATCCACCAAAAAATCAAATAAAATGCAACTGCATGGGGATTAGTGGTCGATGATAGAGGAGGAGCGGGAGAGAGAACGTTGTTAGCGGTGCGAATAGCGGGATGTGAGGGTATCACAGTATCGAGGCACTCGCCTACCGGCACGGGCTTGAAACCACTATTTTTGACTAGATCCATTAACGTTTACCAGATAAAAATATAACATAATAATACATAACACGAAAATTTTGATAAAAGAACAAACATGGCAAAACACAGGCGACAACTTTTTATACCAAAAAGATAGTAAAAAACACATCAACATGGAGAACCAACGAAAACATCAACGGGAAAGCGGACCTAGGAGGTCTTCAGCTTCTTGAACGGCTGCATGACAACGTTGTTGTTGTTCTGCGCAGCGGCGGCGGCAATACTGGCCGCAGAGGGCGACACTGTGGTCATTGGGGCGGCCGAAACGGTCACAGTGGGGTACTGCGCGCCCAAAAGCCCGCCACTGATCATGGGCGCAGCCGAAACGCCGGTGGTGGGCGCACTGGCGTACGCGCCCGGCCTCATGATCGAGTAGGGATTGAACTGGAAAGCGGCAGGCGTGGCGGCCGGGGGTGGGCGCGCAATGTTAAAGAAATTCTGTTGCGCCAAAGCAGCGGAGTAGGGATGCGCGGCCAGTCCCAAGTTCAACCCAGCGTTGGATGCGCCGAAGCCCAGAGGCAAGTTGGCGTAGCGCATAGCGGGCGGAGGCATGCTCAAAGCTTGCTTGTTCAACGCCACCCCGGTATAGTTAAGCGGGTTCAGGTGGCTCATTTGCGAGTTGGCCAGCGATTGATTCATCGCGGCCAGTTTGACCGCTTTCGCGTAATTTTGCTGTGCGACCTCCTTGGCCAGAGCGGCCGGATCGTGAAACACGGTGACAGACTGTGCCGGTAAGCTGTTCAAGGAGGCGGTGGTGGTAACCGAAGCGGGCAAGGAAATCTGCGGATCGGCCTCCTTCTTGAACTGGTTCGGCTGCAGGGGAGGCGGCTGCGGCTGCTGCGCCGGCTGCTGCAACTGATATGTCATCGCCATTGACACGGCCGGCAACGAGGCGCCGCCCGCCGGGTGCGCAGCTGCAGCCGCCTCCGGAATCGATGGCGAAGCAGTCGAGGAGGGGGGTGGGGCAGGCGAGGTGGGATACTCACATGACACGGGTACGAACGGCTGCTGTAGTTGCATTAGTTGTTGGTAGGTGGTAGCGTTGGGCTGGTAGACTGGAACACCAGACTTGTCGGCCGCAGGTCTCTTGTAGGGCACCATGCCGGCGGGGAACGCCTGAAAACCAAGCAACTTTTCAGCGGGTCATCCAGAAAGACATTGCATACAAACACTCCCTTGGAGGTGTTGTTTGTAGAGATTTAAGGAAGCGCTACTATTGCTCGGAGTGGGGTAGGCCTGTGTAACTCAGTTCATTTTTAGGAGTTAACCCAACGCACCGGCGCTGCAACAGTAACGGCAACAACTCAACACAGTGTTACACAGGCCTACGCAGAAACACTCCCCTTCCCTTTCGATATATATCGAATTTTTATTTTTTTATTTTTTTTATAGCTGATTAATTTATACGAGTGTTAGGAATTAATTTTAGAATAAGCTATGCTAAGACACATGTGTACCAAACAAGGGCAGAAAGACCGATTGCCAACTTTCGTGTGTGTTTAGTGAATTTGAGTTTGTGGTCGATTGTGATCTCAAGGTGTGGTCGTTTGGCCGTCTGCAGTTATTGTAGGGGACTCCAATAATCAAGCTAGTTTTTTTAAAATTTGCCAAAAATCAACCCAAGTTGCCGCAAATCTGCAAATTGCCACACGAACAGAGCAACATTATTTCTGTAAAGTGAAACAAAAGTCATCGTCTTGTTTGGTTTCAGTTTTGCCTGACAAATTTTTGGAAAAATTGGTTCTCATGTTTTTCTAAATGAACAATAGTCAAGCGTTGAGTCTGTGGTTCGTGAGCAGAAGTGGGTTTTTTGTCGCGTTTGGCGTTAGTCTCCATTTATAAAACCATGTCATTGTGTTGTTTGTTAGTGTTTGGAGTCTGTCAGTAGTTTTGTCGTGTACAATACGTGTCCCTTTTGAATTTATTAGGAAAAAAAATAGTAAACTCTGGCTGATACTTACAAAGTTGTCGTAATAAAACGATCCAACAGATTTCATGTCCATCTGAAACAGAACAAGTAATTAGCTCGACAGTCCTGCGCCTCGTGGGACAGCAAACAATTAAGCATCCGGCGGTGCCATAAATGCCCCACGAATGCAGGAATCTACGGCACCCCAAATGTCGGGTTATTATCAACATTGAAACGTCTTAAACATTAGATTAGTCTACATCAAAGTAACTAGATTTACGGCAACAGCGATCACTACCCACTGTCGCTGTCGTGTACAAATCAACAACAGAAAAAAACGAACAATGTTAAAGAAAAATGAGAAAAAAACAACATCTGGCCCATCGTCTGAGACCAACCAGCGCAGACCGGTCTCAGACGAGATACAGATTAAACGGTATCGGCGGTGTCGTTGCTAGAATGTTGCGAGATCCAGTATCGTCCATTGCGCCAGAGAACACCCTAAATGACCTAACATGTTAACGGCGCACTAAAAGCTAGACATTGACGTGCAAATTTCGAAAGCCTTCGTAGCGAAAAGCTGTCGGGTTTAGTTCAAAGCTCAATGTTGTAGGAAAGCGCACACATGTTGGCGTGATCTTGTTCAAAACGTTACTCTACAGTTACAAGCTGTCTTTTGGGGCCAATGCTCAGACGGTTGGATATAAAAAGGGTTGCCTGGAGAAATGAGGAGGTGAGCTTCCAAAGTAGATCACCTCCTCCGATATGTGGCTGCACCGTTTTTCAAATGGTCCTCTCGATGCGATCTTAAGCTCACGCTACTTGCACTAAAGCAAACCATTTTGCGCCCTGATTTCAACAGAAAATTGAAAGAAACATCGATTAGCACCTTTAGGAAATGTAAAAATGCTCATGGCCTTGTATTCATTAAGTTTGGTAGGCGGAGCCCAGAGAGTAGGTGGAGCTACATGTTCAAGGTTCCCTTGTAGGGAAACTTTCCTTTGTACTCCACTTACATCTTTGCTGCTGTTCTGGGTTACTTTTTGCCTTTCTCTTTCATAAACTGATATGTATACACTTTTTGCTCCAACCGCTTCATATAGCAGAGTTTGCAAGACTTTGGGCACGAAAATTGAAACTCAATTGGTTCCCCAGTTCAGTGAGCAGAGCACGACACAACTTGTAACTGCCGAATATCACGCGCAAGACGAAGCAGCAAATGAGTTGAGCTGGTCACTCCGATGTCTCTCGGTTAAGCAAATGCCTACAGCCTCTCACAACATGCTAACAACTTCAATAAGGTAGCAGTTCGGCTCTCTCTCTACAAATACAGCGTGAGTAATTTGGAAATTTACACTGTTTGGAACTTGTGCTCATCCAGATTCAGGTCAACGGCTTACATTGTACGTGGTCGGTTTTGATATGTTCAAGCAGTGATAAATAAAATGGAATTAAGCGGTCTTCTTCATGTGCAGGGTGAACACGTGTGTGTGAAGTTGATGCGGAAAACGCGAAAATGAGGTCAATTTTAACCTGGAATGGATTCTTGGATGGAACAGGGAAAGAGCGATGCCTTGATGGCTCGAAGAGGCTAAGAAAAAGCTGGCATAGTGGAATGCCAATAGAGATGGCGAAGCTACATGTTCATCCTGCACAATCAACTGCAATTCGTCGAAGAAAACCTTACATACAAAGCGCCGCATGTGGTAGTGTCTTGCAGCGGCACTAGCAAAGCATGTCCTGCACCGGCTCATCAACCAGCTACTTAGTCCCAGAGCAGAAAAAACGAAAATCCCTATGGAAGCCAGACAGCTATGGTACAAAAGCGCCGACGTTCGCGAGTACCCGCTGAAGAGCGCCGATGTAGTCAAGAAACAAACCACTACCGGATCAGGTGTTAATAGTGTGCTTTGGTGTTAAACCAGCGCTTCCAAATTGCCGTGCTCGGGCAACTTGCAAGCCCTGGACAACTGGAAAACAGGACAAAACCCAAAAACGAAAAAGTGTCATGCAAAGCAGGCGCAAAAGGTACCAGTAATAGATCTGTGTCGGCGGTGCATGGCTCGCGTGGCCTCTTCTTGCCAATCTCGAGGGCGGCTGCTGCGGCGGCTGCGGCGGCTGCAGCCGATGGCTGCGCCAGCAATGGCGAAACGGCGGCGGGCTATTAGTAGTAGTAGCAGCACAAGACCAAGCAATCCGCACCAACGGCAGGGGGAAATAAAACAAACCAGCTCTAATTAATGTCATGTGGGTGGGCGTGGCCGTCGCAGCCGAATTGGTGCGGGCACGTGAGTAAAACTATCATGGACCAACGGTGCCCTCACGCCTCAATCGCCCCAGGGCACCATCTTCCACAGTAAATGTAACAAACACGAACACTTTGAGCGGCAGGCACTGGATTAGTTACGTCTCGATGTTGATGCACTAACGGCAGCGAAAGCATGGAATACCTACAGACCCAACGGATCGCATGACGAAACATGACTGGAGGCGCAACTGTCTTCCTCCAATATGCCCGTTTCCTCAGCATCTTCAATTATTCATCGTGCACATAACCGGCATCTGAGCTTTGTCTCATGTACATTTTTCCTCCCTGTCATCCATGTCATTTCAATCGAATGCTATGGGGGAATGGCCGTCCTACTCGCCCGACCTGAACCGTTACCGCCGAAATGAGAAGGCCATCCGACTGCAAGTAGGCCGAACAGAGTCAAGAAGACTTGACTTGGCTTGCATTTTGGTGGTGGTTTATTAGGCTTGTAATCGACAGGCTCTAAAATTAAGCTCCAAAG